AAGAAGCACATGGATCCACTTGTCACACTGCAAGAAAGTGATAGATAGATAGATAGATCAGATGAGTAATGTGTAAAATCACTTTCTTAATTATTCTGTGGAACCTTACCGTACTGCTTAGCACTCTAGTAATTCTACTGTGGTACCTGTTATAGAATACGCATTTGGTCTCCTTCACCGACCTTCAGAGGAAGTCCATCGTACAAAGGGGGTTGTATTTTTTAGCATACAACCATCTCAAACTGGTGAAGGTTCAACAACTCTGCCGAGAGGTCATAGGAAGTAGACCACTGTGTAAAAGATTACCCATAGGAAACTTTTTGAAGTTTGAACCTAGATGATGTTGCAACTTTTCATATTAGTTTTGTTTTTAGCTCTCACTCAGGGCAAGGATTCTTGTTGCCCCCATGAGCCAGCTATTTGTAAAAGGGACGTCTATCTCTGCTATAACTCTACTAGAGTAATCAGTGTAGTGACTATTCCTTTTCAAACATTCTCGCAAAGATTTAAAATTGACCCGGGAGATTGGCGAGGTTATGATTTCTACCTATATCCCCGTGTAGTTCAAAGAACTCAAAAGAGTTGGGGAGACGTTTTCAGAACCACTGGACAGTGGAAAAAAGGATCGTATGGATGGACATCTTTAGCTAAGAAATGGATGAGTAGAATATCAGGGTTCACTGTTAACCATGCCTCCAAAGTTTTCACTATGACAATAAACTCCACAGCAGAACCCCTTGAGAAGGAAGGCTGTTCTTCCTCATTTATATGTGCACGGTCTAGTGAAACCGATCCGTGTTGGACATTGTATCTGTGCTCTGCAAATGTTACACAAGAAGAAAATGAGATACAAGGGATTCTTACTTCTGCCCAAGGTGAACAGATAAAAATTCAAAATATTAATGACCCGCTTAAAACGGATGAACTGTTTCAAGTCACCACTGGAATCTCTGGGCAAACAAATAACTGGCTTTTAATGGCAGAACAAGCAGCTAAAACAGTGTCTAATGATTGTCTTGTGTGTATGGGAGCCAGACCGCTGTTAAGTGTGGTTCCTGCCACCATAACTCCTCAATGTCTTCTAAATATAATGAATTATACAGTTCCAACTGATAATTGCACCTATTGGGATAAGATCTATCCCCTGACCACAGATGAGAAGAAAAAAACAATCTTTTTGAAGAAAGTGGCTGTGGCAAATTTCACCTGTGTAAACAGGACCAGAGTGGGCCCAAAATTGGGTACACTAAATGAAAAACAATGTGCAAGTATTTTACTGGTATCCACCTTTTTTAAACCTCAATCCCGCAGTGACATCTGGTGGTGGTGTGGAGATGACAGATTGTTTGACAGACTTCCATGCAACACCACTGGATTGTGTGCTGCAGTCACCTTGATTTTACCTGTTTCTATTACTTCACTCACAATGGATGAATTGTTAACGACTGTAAACAGTATTTTACCACATACATGGCATACTAGAAGAAGGAGGGCATCTGAAAATGCGTGGAGTCCAGATGACCCTACTTATATTGACAGTATTGGAGTACCCAGAGGTGTTCCAGATGAGTATAAACTAGTGAATCAAGTTTCTGCAGGATTTGAATCTTTCTTATGCTGGTGGTGTACTATAAATAAAAATGTAGACAGGATCAACTACATCCATTATAACGTCCAGAGGCTGGGAAATAAAACAGAACAAGGCTTCTCCGCCGTCCATGAACAATTGTCAGCTACCACTCTGATGGCTTTCCAGAACCGTATTGCTGTTGACATGTTGTTAGCTGAAAAAGGTGGTGTGTGCTCTATTTTTGGAGATCAGTGTTGCACCTTTATTCCCAACAACACTGCTGCAGATGGCAGCCTCACAAAGGCCCTTGAAGGCCTTCGCTCTCTTAACAGCAAAATGAAAGACCATTCTGGAGTTGACACAAAAATGTGGGATGGATCTGGAGACATTTTTGGTAAATACAAACAACTGGTACTTTCTATTTTGATGTCTGTAGCTATATTTGCCGCCATCCTGACCTTATGTGGATGTTGTTGTATTCCATGTATTAGAGCGCTGCTAAATAGACTAATTACCACTGCAATACAACCCATGAAAACAGAAATGTATGCCCTTATGTCCACTGAGGAACACCTATCGGATGATGAAGACAGCGAAGAGGATGAATTCTCTTTACACTTTCCTGACTTTTATCCTAATCCCAACGACAATAACCCACCAGTTTAAAGTACCTCTGAGTGTACCCTTTACAGCTAAAAAAAGAAAAAAGAATGATTTCTTAGTTGAAAATCTGAAAAGAAGTAACTATTGAATGATAAAAATAAATAGCTTAAAGTGAATAAACAGGAGGGAAATGTTGGGTTAATTAATTGTACATAAGTTATTCTACTTTAATCATATTATACTTACACATTTTGTTATCTCTATCTTACTCATATTACAAAGAGTGTTAAAACATTTAGTTTTGTTTGCTGTGTCATTAATGTTTTTTAAGTCTGTGCAGGAGGGATGTTGACTGCGACTGCTGTTAACAGATGTCGTTAAGGGTGTGGAGGAGAATGGAGAACTGTGCAACTAGATAAGGAGAGGGGTTCTCCTTATCCTCTGATGTTGTATGATGTTGTACGAAAATTCTGGTTTCAACTGGGTTCTGTTCCCTCCCCCTTTAGCGGTTGAAACCACATTGTAATCAGGGCGTTTCTTCAATAAAGGGCTTGGAGAGCACATACTGCTTCAGAGTGGGTTTGAAGTTGTAACTGAATGCAGTTTCTGATCCCCTCTCCTTGCAAGTAAAATATACTAAATTCTCTGTGTCATTCTTTGTGCAGGTTGCTGAATAAGGTGTTTGGTGTTTAAACCTAACAACACTGCTGCAGGGTTTTCTATGCAAACCTGCAAGAGCAGAGCAGGCTGCATAAAACAGGCAGTATGAAGGCAAATATGTATAACTACAACATAATTTTCACTAATGGGGAAAAAGCCTCAAAATTATTTCATAACAATAAAAAGGAGATCCACTGCAGTTGCCTAGACAACCCTTATAATCATAGGATTCAACAGCAAAACATTTTTTGTGCACACAAATAAATAAATGTTTAATCTAACATTTATTACAGTACATAAGGGTTAACTTTATAAATAATATGTTATCATTTGTATTTGTGAAGTACTGTAACAGTTAAATGCATTGTAAAAAACTCAAAATACTTAGTTTTTTCAAGTGAACATTACTTTTTTTGGAGTTGAGAAAACTTGCAAAAACTGCAACAGCCCTCCTGAACACCTACTGCAGTTCTCTGTACTTATTTTTTAAAAGCAATCTTAAATCAACATTATTTGCATTTCTGTATAAGCACACTCAGATAAAAAAGAAATGAAAACCATAATAACCAGATTAACATCATTTTACAGTAACATGCAGTAAGTCATTAAGAATCCGAACTGAGGGATATTATGTAGTATCTTTACAGTCAGTCAGTGGTGGACGAAGTATTGAAGTAAAAGTATTGCTACTCATAGTTAATTCTTTCTCAACTACAAGTAAAAGTTACTCAGTCAATTTACTAAAGTTAAAGTGTTGAAGGACTCACTTTTGAAAATACTTAAGTATGCAAAAGTACACGGATATTCAATAGTGCAATATACATAATCTAATATCAGTATTTTTCTGTATAATTCTCAGATTATTTTTAAAGAACTTCCTGAAACCACCTCATATACTGATGCCTAGAACCACTCTATGCTACAAATTCTACACCACTTCTAAAGAACTTCAGCATGAAAATGCCACAAAAAATAAGGACAGATATTTTGATTATTAATTCTTATTTGAAAATAAAACAAAAATAAAACTGGAGAGTCTTGATTCTCCTCACACTTTCTCTATGGAACAGAGGTTTAAGGTTGAATCTATTAGAAACAGCAACTCTGATTTCAGAGCTCATCCTTCTGAGCAAATTGGCCACATGGCATCAGCTAACGCCTTGATAAAATTATAAACTACTAATAATATCTGCCCTGAATTTCTAACATTTGTGGAATTTCGTGCACATTTCTGAACCAGTGTTGTGCAAATCTAGCCCTAATGCTATTTTCCATGTTGAAATTGCATTTTTATAGAGAAAAACAACAAAAGCAGATTGCAAATCTAAACTCAGCCAGCAGGAACAAGGAACTAGCAGTTTCCCTGAAATGTAGTGGACTATAAAGTACAACATTTGACTTTGAAATGTAGTGGAGTGAAACTTATAAGTACATCCACCAAAAAATTACTCAATTAAAGTAAAGATACTCAATAAAGGTACTTACAGTAAGTACAGTAACCAAGTGAATGTACTTTACTTTCCACCATAGCAGCCAGCTGATTTATCTTCATTTTTTAACATTATTTTTCTGGTTTTATTTTATATTACATTATTTGCTACATCTGATAGTTTTTTCTAAATCAAAACTGATTTTTTCTTTTTAATTAATTTGTGATTTATTGACATAAAACTATGCATATTTCTCAGGATTCAAAATGGTAAACAGAAAACCTTTCAAATTAGGGGACTAATCCTTAAATAAGGATAGTTTGTCCTTTTTTCAACCAAACTGCATTTTCATTATCATATCTCTGTGTCAGTCCATTGCATTCTTAAAGAAATATGCTGAGCTCCCTCCTACATCCAGTGTGACAAAAAAGGATGCTAAGAAGTGCCAGCTTCAGATATGAACAGATTGCGGCTAATTAAATGTGGGGGCTATGCATGAAACATACAAACTACCAACACCGAGGGTAACGTGCATGAAACATAACAATAGTGACTTAAAGCTGAGATGAAAAGCTGCCTTGATATGCACTCAAGACTGTCACATATTGATAAAAGGTTTATAAAAACGTGTATGTTTATGTCTGTATATACATACACGACATACATGACACATAAACAAGAGCATGCAAAAGCAAAACAAAAACACAGAACGTAAAGAAAGTAAAAATACAAATAGCTCAAACAAATTTCGTACCATACCTCTGAGAATCCAGCAAGTCTTTGGGTCTGATGATGGCCTTGATAAGGGCATCCGGACGCACCGACTTCTGAGGTGATGTCTTTGGGCTGGAGTCTGATTCCCCACTCTCCTCATCCCCCATAGCTTTAACATAGCTGCTACTCCGCATTCGACGACAAGGGATCTCATCATCCTTCCCACCGCTGGGATAACCAGCCCACTCATCATGAGGTACCTGTGGGATGAATAAAGAGACTGAAGTTGGTTTGTTTCCCATTTCCCTAACACACAAGGATATTTGCGGTGCCCTTATTACTGAAAACAAATCCTTACAGTCTATTTTAATTTTTTTATTGGAAAAAACTATCCTACTAAAATCCTTTCACAACATAGAATAGAGATGTTTGCCCTGATTGCGTGTAAAACAAAATATTGTTTTGCATTATATTTAACTATGTCAATGTCTTCTGAACTTAAGATGAGTAAAAATGTAAAGAAAAACTGTTTTACAGCAGAATTCCATTCTGAGAAAAAGTTGTATCTAAGAATGATTTTTTTTTTTTACCTATTATTGTCATAATCTTTCTTTATTTTGGTATTTATATTTTGCTGTCTTGTTCAGCCATTGGTTCAGCCATTTCTAGTTCAGTAACACCCCACCCCAATCTCTACCCAGCTGCTCCCAGTTTTTAATCTACCACTTTCTCATTGTTCAGTGATCAACTCCTTAGTTTAACTATCTCTCAGTATATTGCTCTTGTTCAGATCACTCTGTTAATACTCATCTCTGTTGCTCCAGTCACTTATCATTTTCTATTTCCTCTTGGACCTTAGTTTTTGGGACTAAACTGTTGATTCCATGTTGCTGATGCAGCCAAAGTGCACACACTGGCAAAACAAACAACAAAAAATATATACTACCAAAAATATATACAACTCATCATGCTTGGGACCTTTCAAACCAGAGAAGAACACTTTAACTCATTAAGCCAGCACACATCTCAGTGTCTGGTGGGACCGAACTGATGTTTTTTTTTTTTTTTTTATATAGTATTGTTTCATAAGCTGAATGCTTTTGTTATGCAATTTATTTTGCCTTACAAAATATCAAATCTGTGTTGAATATATGAAAACTCAATTAGACATCAAACGAGCCACAAATTCATACTATATAACATAGGTATTTCACAGACCAAGAGTGGCTATAGTCATATTTTGTCCACCTATATCATTATCATGCAGAAATAACTTAGAGTCATTCATACAGAATGAAAACTTAATGAGAACAACATTCTTTTAGGTCCTATTACTTCAAGACTTCAAATCAAAGTTCTCTTATTGTCTTGCAAATGTTTCATACCAAGTAACGGCTGGACCTGTGTGATTAATAATAATAATAATAATACATTTTATTTCAAGCGCCTTTCAAAACACTCAAGGTCACTGTACATATAAAAACAATAAATGGTAGAAAGCAGTCGTCATAATTAAAAGAAACAACACAAATTACACAGAGGAAAGTAATATAAAATCATAATGAAAAGGCAATCTTGAACATGTGGGTTTTGAGTTTGGATTTGAATACGGGTAAAGACTCGGTTTTGCAGATGTCAGAGGGGAGAGAGTTCCAGAGTGTGGGCGCAGAACGTGAAAAAGCTCTGCTCCCCATGGTTTTAAGACGGGCTGAAGGAACAACTAAGTGAGTGGTAGAAGAAGATCTAAGAGTGCGGGAGGGAGTAGAAATTTGAAGTAAATCAGAAAGGTATGGAGGGGAGAGATTGTGAATAACTTTAAAAGTAAGTAGGAGGATTTTGAACTGAATTCTATACTTCACAGGTAGCCAGTGGAGCTGCTGCAGGACTGGGGTGATGTGATGAAAAGAAGGGGTTCTAGAAATGATGCGGGCTGCTGAGTTTTGTACTGACTGAAGCCTGTGAATGGATTTTTGAGGAAGACCAAAAAGAAGAGAATTACAGTAATCAATGCGGGAAGTGACCAGACTATGAACAAGAGTGCAGGTGGAGCTAGTGGAGAGAGAGGGGCGAAGGCGATTGATATTGCGTAAGTGAAAGTAAGCGGAATGGGTAAGGTTGTTAATGTGAGAGGAGAAGGACAAGGTACTATCAAGGATGACACCCAGACTCTTGACCTGAGGTGAGGGGGAAATTATGGAGTTGTCAAATGAAAGGGAGAAACTGTCAGCTTTGGATAAAGTAGATTTTGTTCCCACTAAGAGGATTTCGGACTTGTCATTATTCAGTTTAAGAAAGTTGGAGGTGAACCAGGATTTTATTTCGGTTAAGCAGGAGATTAATGAAGGAGGTGGGAGTGAAGAGTTTGGTTTACAGGAAAGATAGAGCTGGGTGTCATCCGCATAACAGTGAAAATTGATGTTGAATTTCCTAAAGATATTGCCAAGGGGGAGAATGTAGATGATAAAAAGTAGGGGTCTTAGAACAGAGCCTTGGGGAACACCGGTGGTAACTGGAGAGGAGTTGGAACGATATGACTTAATCTGAACAAACTGAGTGCGGCCAGAAAGATAGGATTGAAACCAGGCTAGGGGAGTGTGAGTGATGCCAATTGTATAAAGTCAATGGAGTAGGGTAGAGTGTGAAACTGTGTCGAAGGCTGCACTTAGATCAAGAAGAATGAGAATGGAAATTAGACCAGAGTCAGCTGCTATTAAAAGATCATTGATTATTTTTAAGAGGGCGGTTTCAGTGCTATGACGGGGACGGAAGCCAGACTGGAACTGTTCATAAAGGTTGTTGTGAGTTAAGTGAGAATGAAGTTGAGAAGCGACTGTTTTTTCCAATATTTTTGAAATAAAAGGTAAATTTGAAATTGGCCTGAGATTATTGTAATTGTTGGGATCTAGTCCAGGTTTCTTCACAATAGGAGTGATAATAGCAGTTTTGAAAAGAGATGGAACAATTCCAGAACCAAGAGAGGAGTGGATGATGGCAGTTATGAAGGGGAGGAGAGCGTGAAGGCAGGATTTAACCAGGGCAGACGGGATGGGATCAAGTGGGCAGGTGGAAGATTTAGATTTGTTGATAAAATCAGAAATATCGGAGAGGGTAGGGAGATAAAAGCTGCAAAAAGGCTGGCAGGGTGAAGGGGTTATAGGGGAAGGGGGTGACAGGATAGGAGGCAGGCACTGGTGAATTATCTTGATTTTATCATTGAAAAACTGCATAATCGAATTGCAGGCGTCGGTTGAGCATAGGTGGGGAGGAAGAGAAGCTGGGGATTTCAAAATATTGTTAAACACCAAAAACAGAGTCCGAGAATTACTTTCGTGTGAGGAGATCAGGTTGGAATAGTAAGTGGATTTAGTTATAGTGATTAGTTCTTTATATTGAGTTATCTGAGTTATATACATTTCACTGTGAATTGTTAAACCGGTTTTCTTTTTAAGTCTTTCAAGTTGACGGCACTTAGCCTTCATGGTCCGGAGTTCAGGGGTAAACCAGGGGGCGGAGTGGGAAAAGGTGACAGTCCGGGATTTTGTTGGGGCAAGGAGGTTCAAAATATCATTTAAGCAGTTATTGTATTGAGATGTCAGTTCATCCGGTGAGGAAGAAGAATCCAGGATTAAAGTTCTTAGGATGTGTGAAGAGAGAGTGTCCAAGTTAATGTTCTTAATGTTCCGGTATGAAAGGAGCCGTGGGGTCTTTGCTGTGAAGAGACAGGGGGAAATGCTGAATAAAAGGAGGAAATGATCAGATATGTGAAGATCCTCAGCTGAACAGTTAGAGGGGGTAAGACCAGAGCAACAAATTAGGTCAAGAGTATGACCTTTAGAGTGAGTTGGAAAATTGGAAAACTGATCAAAACCAAAATTGTCCAGACAAGATAGGAAATCTCTGCATTAACATGAAATTAACATGCATCTTATCTAAAAACATGCAAATCTTTGCATTGTATGATTTTAAACTTGAAGCTCATGCAAAGTAATACCTTTGCATGCAGGCCACCCTTGGTAGACAATATATGCATATGTTAAACTGACTGAGAAGAAGTGTGTGAAGGACTTAGCATGCATTTGTGGAGGAAAAAAAAGGAAAACAAGACATTGTCTGAAAAAGAAGACCGTAACTCTAAAGATTTCCTGGCAAACTACTAGCCAGAATACCATCTTAACAGGCTGCTGTAGAACAATATGGCATTCTTTCTAGTTTCTGATAATTAATTAGGCATTGCCTTATGAGATGTGTCAAACCTGGGATATTTTCTTGAATCCAACCTGGATTTAAACCTCCACACAACTTTAACCCTGACCAGTCAGGTATGCTCCTTGGTCTTGATGGGGTTGCTGGTTAACACATTTTCACCATTAAACATCTTAGGCCTTCACAGACTAACAGACTACAAACAATACACTTACTATACTGATCCTACACTTAAGCTAGCTCTGTTTAAATTTGAGGGGACCTAAACACTTGTTTAATAACTAATTTCAAGGTTCTTAACACCTGTGATGCTAATTAGTGTACACACCTTGATTTACACATACCCCTCTGGTCACATTATTTTCTTTTATAAGGGTACCATCATTTTTTGCCCAGGCCTGTTTTTAAAAATCATTCTATTTAACCCTTTAAAGCCCGATCCAAGAATAAAAAAAAACAGAAAATTACTTTTTTTTGGTTTGAAGTCCTTATTTGGCCTTTTAACAAAATATGTTAAAAGAAAAAACAGAAATAAATTTTTGGTATTAATAATTCATTACTATGCGATAAGTCAAGATAATTTTTTTGTGTAGTCTTCTGCCCTCTGTTATCAGGTAAATCTGATTGTGTACAACAGAATTTTGAGCAAAGTTTTTACTATTAAATTATGCAAAAGGTGTCAGACGCAAAAAATTTCAGAAACCGTATGTATCAAATATGATACATTTGGCATTACAGGGTTAAATAAGGGAAACCTAAAATCTTGTCCATGTGCATATGGAGGTAATCCAGTCCACTTTATTGCTTTAACACATTTCTTCAGCATGACATTTTTCATAGGGTTGCAGTACCTAAACCAATATAAAAATTATAATGAATCAAACACACTCTAATTCTAGAAAATCTAAAATTAAAAGTAAAAATATGTGGAGAACCACACAGCTCATGCAATGATAGAAACCAAAGAATAAATGAAGGATTGGATTTTATTTTGGAATCTGAATTAGAATAACCAAATTTAACCAAACTGGTTTACAATGTTTAACTTGCTAAATAA